TGTATTGACATTTGACAATAAATTTGGTGCACTGTACCGCATAGGTAGTTGCACAGTATTAGGTACTGCACTAGTTGCAGTTGGCTRGTTAATAACTCGCAAAATATTGCAGCCAATACACTCGTGCGGAATTATTAATCAACAGCGGTAATGCAATCGTTGGATTGCATAAATAGTGCTTATTGAAAATTATAGCACAATAGCTCATATATCATATATGTGTCGCAGTCGCACAAGTGAAAAACGGTATATATATAGGGATAATAATGATACTCGACAATGGATCTTAATAACAATAATAATAATAACATAATTGTGTGCCACAGCGTACGAGTGAGGCTTACAATACTACTATATCTATATAATATAATATTCCCATTAAACCCATTCTATTTTTCTTTATTTCTCAGCATAAAACATTTAAAATGGACCAAAATAAAAATATAATAGTTTATAACCGTAGCAACTTTAATCCATATCAATATATAGAAGGTAGGTATAYGGAATGCCTACAACGAATTATAACTTAAGTAGGGTATTATTTTGAAAACGAGCTGGCAGTCGGCACACAATCAATTTGTGGCACTTCTACAACAGACAATATTGTGCACCGCATGGTGCGATTAATGTATATATCAAAATATACGTAGGACACATCCGCTCYATTGTGTTATCAGTTTTGTCTCACTTTTAATAAAATATATATTATTTTTTGTWGTAGGATCAAAATGTCGATTACTACCTGGAAACGGACGACCATAGTATTCTAAAATGTGAAAAAAAAWATAKATATAGCTAGAAACAAATCGTCGAACACTGTAGCAACATGCCTAAAAAATAATATATTATATAAAGGTATTAAAATGGTAAATCATTATATCATCTGATTCCAAGAAACTCGATTTTTTTTTTCTGCATTCCGATTTCACTATTTGCACTTTCTGATTAAAATCAACAAAATATAGTGTAGGTAAGATCAATATAAAATGCCCTATAGTAATAAGTTATAGCAAATTGTTTTTTTATCACTAGTTATTTTTAATTATTTGATAATATTTATCTTGTCACGATCTTTGATTGCAGTTTTATTCATTTTGCCGATAATATAATGACTAAAAAGCTGATTTATTAGAAATGTAATTATTATGTTTATTCGAAGTACATTATTAATACTAAATAATAAGTCCGGAAACATTGTTTCTTATTATAAAAACGCGCCAATGAAGCGTCAACGAATTAATTACAATGAAACATGTATCATGCATATGCGATAATATTAGTGTACCGATGGTGACTATATATTTTAATTGATTATTTTTATCATCTTGACACATGATCGATAAATACTAATCTCCGTCTTGACATATTACTTGTGTATATATTTATGGTAATAGGGTAAACGCTTATTGTAATAMAATTTGAAATTGGATACTACTAAAATAATATTTATTGTAAAATTATCATCACATGTTTGTATAATAATGATTCTAAGATTGCCTGTATTATAACATAATATTATGCAATTTCAATTTCATACCTATTTTCAAGTTACAAAATATCATGTTATAATAGTGGATTTTATTTATTAACTCATTTTAAMATAATRTTAAAAATTAATTTAGTTTTTCCTCCAATATTGAATTCGTGCGTTCAATTTGTACAACAACAACATTCGCAGTATCACAATAATTAAAATGTGTTACTAGGATCTTTTCTTATTTCGTTGTGTTTAATTACTAATTATAGGTACAATGTTGAACTGTTAATTTTTGACTTATTATTCTATACAGTTAATAATAATTGTTCACAATATAATATTTAATTTATTCAAAATAATGATGAATAAAAAAATATGCATAGTAGGTACAATGGTGAATGGACRGTCACCRCGGATGACGAGGTGATGCATTTCATACCACGGTGGTGACGTTGCAATAAGCCGATCATAAATTAGTTAACTATATAATCCATTACATTAATTATACATAGGTAAAAAAACTAATTTCGTCTTGAATTGAACATTTTGTATTASTTTTTTGGAGAGAGTGAAGGAAAAGTCACGTAATCTTGCTAAAAGAATTATTGTTACTCAGCTGTCYATTCTTATCTAAAAATTCAAATTCTACACTAGGGGATASCTAGGTGTAATTAGCTGGTTAACATGAATAACGTCATCGCTAATWGCTGGGTTTTTTGCATCGGGKTTTTCGGTAATTACATYTCAGGGTGGTTTTGTCTAAATTCTAATAACGTCGACACGTCACAAGTGGCAACATAATATGGTGCGGTATAKGGGAAGCACAATCTATGATAAGTCTATATGATTTAGATAGACCGCAATGACCATYCACTGTAAATACTAAATAGTAACATTATGTAAATCGAGCAGATAAAACAACGCAGTCCACGATCGATAACGTAATGTTTAATTTTATAAATGAACATTTGTTAGTAAACACTAAAATTAAACACATTGTTTTTTAATGGGTTTTTTTGAAAGCTGTRATTGTTCAACCGCCCTCCATGACTTCATTCACACCCAGACAATAAAGTTTTTGAACTGTATTGAAACGTTGAAACATTTTTAAAAATACAATGAATTCTATATTTTAAACTCAATATTTGTATTCATATGAACCCTGATCTTCTCGTATGCTTGCGTAATAGAAGTATCAATTAATAATTATTACAAAACAGTAAAATAATTTCAAATTGTTTTAAAATTCACGGTTATTACTGAGGACATTACAATAGTGTATTAAGTAGGAACGTAAATCGTTTCTATATTTAATAATTTATTAATATAATATATACTTATATAAATATTATTCAAATCATCACTTTACCGATTAATAATGTAAATAATATAATATCGATGGACAATGTTAATATCATTAACAATATGATGATTAAAATATTATAATTATCGTCAACGCGCACGTGCAATATAAACAGCTTAATATAAATTATAACCTGGTAATTAGTAATATTATAATAATTATAGTTATTTTCTACCTAAACAGTAAATACAGTAAGTTATAGGTAAAATAATACACCTAATATATAATATATAATAATAATTCATTGTTCCCAATGGCCGATGTCGCCGAGGGCTTATTCTTAATAAAAAAAAAAAAAATAATAATAATAATAATACGATAATATTAAAAAAACTGACCTAATTGGCACTGTCATTTACGCTTTACCACATTTTATTTCCGGCTGAACGATAGATTCGGCTATCAATGTACCTAATCGTTTTTGTAATAATAGTAAATGATTATAATATATAGATATATATTAAATTGTAACGTCCCATCTTATTCGTTGTTGTCCATTTGGAGGGGAGGTATTTAAAAACAAGGTTACCTAGAAGGAAAATTACATATGAAGTTATTATAATTTAAATAACTATGTCGTGTAATAGTACGTTTTTATTTACCGATACAAACCGAATAATAAATTTAATTATGTCTGTTTGTTTAACACTGTACCTATAGTTGAGATTCAATTATGTTGTTATAATAGTTAATAGTTATATATATTATGATGGTTACACGGTGTAAAAATTAACGATACAAATATTAGCTGTTAATAATAGGCATATTTAAAACAACATTTTTTATTGCCTAAGCATAAACTATTATATTATATACATATTATATAGCTCATCAATTATATTAATATAACAGAACTTACTTGGCAAATTTGTATTTATATCCATGTTGAATTAACATATTAAACCTAATTTTAATTTTTAGCTTACATTTTAAGACGTTTTTTTATTTTTTCGCCCAAAATTAGTCATTTTTTAATATGACCGTGTGCATGGCTATATAACGTATTCCATAGGTATTATCAAAATTATTTACCAAACGATTAAGTCGTGAACTCGCAAAATGTTTCGTCGATACGACGACAAGGGCGACGCTAATATGCGATAATATTAGGTACTATCAAAATATATTGTAATCATCGTTCTCCGTTAATGGCCAAACATTATTATGAACGATATGGAACAAAAGTTAATTTTACTCCGACGACCGGATAAAACCCCTCTGCCTAACGCGTTCGCGTGAACCACCGCGAGTATAGGCGTGCGCTGATATCGAACTTCATGCACACCGCCGCGGTCGTACGCCGACTTCGGTCGCAAGTTTGTAGCACGTTGGATATAATAATGTACTCCTCAAAAGTCAAAAGTATTAGTGTCCCTAAATAAATGTTCAAACCATTGCTCCAAAAATATCTTCGATCACCACTATTATTATTAATATCGCCGATTTTTGTTATCAGCATTTTTTTTTCTCGAAAAATATAAAACACAAGTTTTATGAAGACTTGTTTATCGAAAAAAGATAGAATTTCATAATGCTTGTCACGTCATATAATCAACCCGTGCCCGTCGATCGTTCGTTCAGGGTTGCTGTCTTATTTTTGGTTTCTAAAAAGAATTATTTAGAACTTTTTTCGTATTACGATGTTTACAAAAAAAAACCAGTCATGCTTCCAAACCCTATATGCGAGCGCATTCCCCACATATCCCGTATCCAGTGAYGTGTACCGAGTACCGTACCACGGTATAGGACATATTATGTAGGTATACCACCACTTGCGATAACAACGCGTTTTGGCGTATACTCACACCCTAAAACCACAAGACACGACAACATCGTGTTACTATGGTACACAATATACGCTGTAATAAATAAAAAAGGGAATATTTCGCCGGCGAGGAGGAGAAAAAAGGAGAAGGCGAAAAATCGCGTGAAAAGGGCTGCGGTGGCGGGGTGGTGTGAACAGGAAGAGAAGAGGTAGAGAAAAGAAAGAGAAAAAATAATGATTGATTGTCATCGTGCCGCAGCAGTGGGAAGCAGTGGTGCGTCGTGATTGGCCGGCGTCCGGGTACCGCCTACAGCCGCCGCCGCCGCCGTCGACGGCACACGCGGAACAACATCGCTGCTGTCGCCGCACTCGGTATCTCAGTCCCATCGCTCGTATCGTTTAACTGGCATTCGTCTTACGTCGCGCGTCCTGTACGGTYGTCGTTTCGTGTGCATTCCGTCCGTCCGTAAGACCGYAGACCTATTTCTCAGTGTTTATTATTTTTCGTCCGTATTTTGCATAGTTTTATYAAAAATTGCGTACGTGTTTATTTACCGTTTGCTATACTCGTCCGGCAATATCCGCAGTGCGAGTGTCGCCGTCACGAACCATCACTTCACCGTCGGGTGAAAAACTTCAAATATCCGACGATCGTCGAGTGCGCGCTGTGTTTTTTGCGCCTGGGCCCAATAACATCCATCTCGCCCAGAAAATATAATCTACCGCAGTCGACTACCATCGACTACACCTGAGGCCAGCACATTTTTTCGTCGTCATCGTCTCTCTGCAGTCATGGACGCCCCTCCACACATGGGTAATTTCGATTTCATATTAGACCACCACCATCACCATCACCACAGTCGCGCTCTCGAGTCGTCCGTGTCGCCGCCAGCCCCCGTGGTCATGCAACAGCAACAACAGCAACAACAACAGCAACCACAGCAACAGCCACAGCAGCAGCTGCCGGGCAAGGCCGATCACATCAAGCGGCCAATGAACGCGTTTATGGTTTGGGCAAAAATTCAGCGCCGGCTCATTGCCCACGACAACCCGAAAATGCACAACTCTGAGATCAGCAAGCGCCTGGGCGCCGAGTGGAAGTTGCTCAACGAGTCCGAAAAGCGGCCGTACATCGACGAGGCTAAGCGGCTGCGGGCGCTGCACATGAAGGAGCATCCAGACTACAAGTACCGGCCCCGTCGCAAGCCCAAGATCCARTTGCATAACAATAATAACAACAACAACAACATCAACGGAGCTCACAACAACAACGGTGGCATGCTACACGGGTCCGCAGGAAACAACAACTTRCACCATCACCATAGCTCACACCACAAGCAGGCAAACTTTCATACATTTCCAGTAGTGACCAGTGGTGGGCCAGGAGCTGCTTCAAATTTCAACTTTCCGATGCCTTACTTCTCTGCTAGCCACCCGGGCCTACACTCGTTCGACGGTTACTCTTCGGCAGGACTCGTCAACCCGTACCTGACCACAACCATGCCTTCGTTCGATCCTATTCACCTGACCAAGCTCGTGGCCCAACAGGCACAAGTCGTGGCACAATCGGGCGGTGGAGGTTCTCCATCACCGTCGTCGCAGATGGCCGGCACGCCGCCGCCCACCGACATCAACGTGGTGAGCGGGCTTCAGCAACCACTGCAACCGCACTTGCACCCGCAGCAACAGCAGCAACATCACTTGCAGTCGCCCCACAACAAGAACGGCGGCGCGGCAGTGGTCAGTTCGTTCTATAATCAGTTCTATCCGCCAGGAGCAGGTGCAGGCAAGGCAGGACCGTACCCGCACCATCCAATGAGCATTTTCCCATCGCCGTTCTCGTTCTACAACAACGGCGGCGGTGCGGGCTCTGTGGACGACCACCACGGCCAGCAGCATCACCATAGCCAGTCGGCGGCCGCGGCCGCTTTCGCCGTCCAGCAGCACCACCACCAACAGTTGCAGCTGCAACAGTTGCAGCAGCAACACCAACAGCATCTGCAGCAGCAACAACAACAGCATCAACAACAGCAGCAGCAACAGGAGAGACCCGGTTCCACGTCGTCCGACATGGAAAACGATCCGACCAGACAAGTTCCTAACGCCTCCAACATACATTGAAAAGTTTCGCACCGCTCGCCATTTCCTCCGCACTACCAACACTTGTGTCGGTTTTTTGGTATATTTTTTTAATTTTTTTTTTTTTATACCTACGATTTCGTCGATGCCGACGACTGATTTAATTATTACTTAAATTATGCTCCTTTTTTTTAATTTTTTTTTTTTTGGCGTAACGTACACGTTACAATATTTATCACCACCACCCCGCGTGGTGGTAGTTACCCACTCACAAAACCCCCTCCCCACCCCCTTTGCTGCCGACACCAAACTGGAATTTGGTAATATATTTTTTGATCTTTTTTTTTTCTCGTGTCGTCGTCGACTGTTTTTCTCCTATAGTGTGTGTGTACATACTATACTTTTTATCACCGTTGCCAACGTGTGTAAATCAGTTGTTTTTCAATAACCGTCGACAATAGAGTGTGTGCCGTTTGCATCGTTTCCGTTACAACCACCTGCGATTCTGAACTATATTTATGATGTTAATATTATTATTCTCTTTGCGACGATATAATGCGAACTTATTTAAATATTAATAAACCGTCGGTTAAGTATACCTACGCCAATCTGGTTTGATAATAATTATTAAGAATAAAATTAACTATAATATGATTTGTGTTTTGGCGCCGGCCCGCCAACCCTCCTCCCYTTCCCCCTCTCCAGCATTCCCCTTTGTGTTCGCCAAAAGCGACTTTTTGAATATCAAATTCTGATCTGAATTCGTGGAAAATGACTTTGGTCCCGATTCAGCTTCTACTCAATGTAAAACGATTTAAAAATTTAAATGTTGATATTCCATATTTGCTTAAATATTTGTTTATTCGTCTCATTTATGATTTATAAAACATGGACTGTGCGCGTGTGTCGGTGTAACAGCCGCACACTTTTTTTCGCTTGTCGATTTATGATTTATGATTTTTTTTTTATTATTATTATTATTATTCATAATATAATAATAATTGTGTTAATGCGATAATGTGCACGATATTGTTTAATTTTGACAGAGATAATAATATTTTTATTGTCCGATTATATTTTATATCGTCCGAAACGTCTGCTCCGGCGGTGTTCCGAAATAAACAATATTGATAAGTGTTATTCGCGTGTATACTCTTGTCTTAGTGTATACTTTCCTATATATTTATATTATACGTATAAATATATAGTTGTGTTGTAAATATTAAAAATTTAAATCTCACGATGATAATAATTGATGAAGATGATGATAACTGTTGTTGTTATTATTATTATTACCTATAAAATATCGATTATTATACACGCATAATAATATTATAATATAATTAATACTCCTCGACGAAAATAATATAATGTTGTTTTTGAAATTAAATTTACATTATACCTACATATTAATATTTACCTATTATTATTAACTATTATAATAAACCCTATTGTTGTTATTATTATATTTAATTATTATTATTATTATTATTATTATTACGAAATACGATAACTTTTGTATTAGGTCGTAGTGATAATCCCGTGTTTCGCCAGTGTGCGTGTGAAAGCCGTACGGGTGTGTGTGTGTGAGCACATTATATGACAACATTGTGCCGCGCGTTACAATAATGATTTCAAATAATATAATATAATAATAATATTATTTATTAATTCTACGATAGCTTGCRATTTTTTCTTCCCGTAATAGAGCCCAATATTTTTTTATGTTTTCGTTACGTCACAATTATTATTTTTTTTTTGGCGCTCATTTTTTTAACCGTTCCGACCACTACTTAAACGTTTAACGATTTATTAATATGTTCTCTCCTCCGTTTAACTTATGCGTGTCATGATAACAATTTTTGGTGTTCGAGTCGACCGCTTTTCACGCGGGACTCAATAAAWTTGTAGTTTAGACGTTTTTTTTTTCTTTTTTTAATTACTACTGTTTAAGCAATACTGAAGACGGTCACAGTTTTTATTTTTTGGGTTCGATWTTCCGTTTATTACCGTACGACACTCGTCGAGACAATAGCCTTTTTCTTCATTTTCCACCCTCTCGACCCASYCACCAAGGTGGAGAATACACATCTCACTTCTCCGTCGCGGGGTCGAGAGGTTAAACCGAAATACACACACGCGCTCCCGCGAACACACACGCATACATAATATTTTATATATATAATATGTAGTGACCTACGCTTTGTTGTTATGTATTTTTTATCATGTGTACATGCGTGGCAAAACGTGTGTGACCAAAACCTGTTGACCCGTTTTTATTTATTTATTATTATTTTTTCTCATTATCATTTTTTTTTTTTTTTTTTTTAAAGTAGTCTTTAAGTGCCAAAACTAATGTTTGAATGTGTTTAAGAAAAAAAAATGTCACTTATTATTATGAATTATTCATGAAGAATTTATATGATAATATTAAAATAGCTTTGAAGATTGAAGCATATATATATACAAAAATATATTTATGTAAACATATATATATATCTTGTGTATGTGTATATATATATGATGTATGTGTATTATATGCTTGTTGTCGAACTTGTAAAAACTTAAATGTCTTGTGAAATCAACTTTGGAAAAAATTATTATATTCGAAATAAATTTGACCTGAAACACAGGTTTGAAATCGAAAATTTATCTTTTTTTGTTTTTCATTCAGACTCGTCACGAGTCTTGTGTCTTTTTATTGTAATTATTGTGTAACCTCACCTGTACATCAGAAATCTTGAAAACATACGTCGATAAGACGCCTTTAACTGAGTGCGGTAAAGTGTTAAAAGTACAGCTTTGATATAACACAAATATAATATTTTCATAAGAAAAAAAAATACTATTGTGTTTACGTAATCGTCGTTATTGTATAGGCGTGAAAATCGTATAAACAGCGTTCGCCGTTTGTTTTGTTATTTTAATAATTATTTCAAATTTTATGACAACACCTCGTTTATGCTGTAGTACATACACGTTTGGAGACATATTGTAACAAATCACAAAAAGGCTATATCATAAAAGATTTCTTTTTATTTTCGGTCTGCAGGTCGAAAAATCATTGGGCTGTCCACACAGATACAATACCGTACGATTTGTTTCCTTTTTCTCGATTTAATATTATCTATATAGACATATTTATGATCACTATACCTGAGAAGACCAAGGGATATGCATATACTGTGCACCACATTRGTTCTRTGTRGTTGTTAGTGMTTGATAAAGAAAAAAATGGTTCAGTTAGAGTATAGTTAGACATAATACACTAAAATATGACGGTGACGGTATTGTATTTTATATTGTGCCTTCAAATTATAAAAAGCGATACCGTCACTACTCTTAGGTCTAAATATTGATGTGTATAGTACATAAGCTAAAAATCAGATTTTTAAGTTCTTAAAAGTTTAAAGTATTCCTTAAACTTGTTAATATGCAGATTATGTGATTTTTTAAATTCAAAAAATGCGAAACAATTATATTCATTGATAGGTATATAAATATAATAGTAAGCCTTTGTTTGGACGTATCAAACTTTTGTGAAAATCTGTTTTCCATTAATATCTACACATTCATATATATATACAGGGTGATTTTTTAAGCATGCTCTCCCCATTTTTATGCTTAAATTATGCATATATTTAAATTCTGATTTTTGGAATATCTAAGTGTAGTTAAAGGCGATATTTTTGAGTACTT